TCATGGTATATTCTTGAAAAGATCTTGACTATAAAGAGATTACACTACCTTTATCAGCAGGTATTTTAATATTGCAAATTTGTTATCAGATTTTACAGATGAATGTACATGTATGCAGTATAAAGATATTAAGCATAATAACCACTTATTTTAGTGTCTTATGACAAGAAATGAACGTAGCTTCCTAATGTCAGAATTCCTCTTCAAGATGTATTTTGAAAGTAGACATATATATCAAGCAAACATTTTTTCTCACTTTCTGAGTAATATTTACCTAAATTATTATAAATGAGAAACCATACTCATTTCCAGCTGCATTCTTGGTATTTTTTAAAGATACAATAATTAGGACATTGAATATTTAATTACTGCTGTTTTATGCTGCATGTTGATAAATACATTTGATTATGGTTTAATATGAACTAATGACATTGTTCTTGAAGCTCATATCCGACTATTTATTTAAAGAAACTATTCAACTCTAATGTGTGTGTGCAGTACCATATTTATCCGGGTAAGCACCCAAAGTCCTAAACTTGGGAAAATTGCCAAAAAATAGGGGCGGGCATATTTCCTGCAAAAAAAAAAAAAAAATGAATATTCGTGAAGATTGACAGCACTCAGATTGAACTGTGACAGGGAATAGAATGGCAAATGAAAACATGCAATGGAAATAAATTATCAATATGCAACATTAAAAGTAAAACAAAAATAATTTATTGCTTATAATGTGACAAATAAACCAGAAATAATATAAATCAACAGTGAAGAATCATTTGAATTAGGATTTCGCCGCCGACAAACACACCCAATACTTTGTGGAATTCAAAATGAACTAAAATGTCAGGGGTCAAACTGCGTAAAATTATTTCCGGTTCTAACAAATACAAGATCAATAATAATTTACACAGTAGAAATTCTAAATTTCATAATTGTTTTAGGAAACTTCTCAGATCTCTATTTGTATGTTGATTGTCATCTTTGTAAAGGTCAAAACCCTTGAAGTCCAATTCGGTGTCACTGTCGCTGTCAAACAAAATCCCTACAGCTTCGTCCTGAAGTTTGTCTATGACACAATTAGGATTTAGCACATTTAATCCATGGATTTCGCAGTCTATCAGCGTGGCACTTTTAATTCACATCTAATCAAAATATAAAGACAAGATAATGGGGTCCTCTGATGTGATGGCACACAATGCTTTTGTTTACCATCTGTCAATCATCTTTGACCTTTAAGCATCTGTTTTACTGATTGGCTAAGAATGACATCACTACTAGTGGAGGCCAAGTCAACATTGCTTTCCTATCAGACTACACACTCATCAATCATGGTAAAAGTTATCATTCAGCAAGTTCTGGCGGTTGGAATTTCTCACTGTATGGGCATGGTATGGTGGGCTTGTCTAACGACAGAAGAATAATTTCCATGACAGAAATGCAATAGCTGTGATGAAAGAAAGTTATCAGTCTTCGGCTTGACATTGCAAAATTGCTGGCCCCAGTTATGGATTCACAAGCTGCTACCAAATATTTTATGAAGCCAAAACAACGTGTTTTCAACCACTCTCCCGGGTATGGGTTGCTACAATATTTCAATTTTGGTTTCATTGTCGATTATGCTAAAGCAATACAAGTGCGACACTTGCTTCTCTGTCAACTGTTAATACAACAAACAAAAAATAGTTTTTAGAAAAAGTGTAGAAAAAAAGACCTGACCTCAATTTCTATATTTAATCAAAATTGGGGGGTGGGGGGGAGAGCATTTTCCCGGGCATAAGCTCTTACCCGGATAAATACAGTAATTGTTTTGGTACGTACAAAAACAATCACACACATGAGTATAAGTTTTTTTTTCATTATTCATCAATGACTACTGCACAGTATGCTTTAAAAGCAAACTTGTTACTGTACGATTACTCAAATCAAATTTTATCCACATCAAACCAAAATTTTAGAAAATTTTCATCAATATTGCATCTTAAAGAAAGATAAGTGGCTAGTATATTGAGTGTCTAAAATACATACACATAGATATTTGTTTGTAATAGTGTATCATTGATTTCCTATCCTCACAGACATTGTACAACCCACAAAACTCTCCTGAAGAAGCTTCTGTCATGACAGTAGAATTGGTAAAAGTACAAATCGCTTTACGGAAACAACGTATGGTGAGTGAGTCATGTAATGACTTGTATTTTATGATGATTTATGTGTTTTTGTTTTGCAGTGTTTTAAAAGTACTGACAGTAACAATTTATTTTTGTGTTGTAATTGATTTGTTTTTACTTCACACAGCACGCCTCATGGAGTTGCACTACTTGTTGTGGCTGTTGTAAGGTTAGTATATGGATCCTGCAATTATGGTACAACTGTGTTGTGCTTGCTTCTAATAAAGGCTGGGGATTTATATCCTTAAAATTAGCCTTCCTGTGAATTACATTGAGATATATTCTGTATTATAACCCAAGTAAAGTAATATTATCACATTAACTATTCACTTTGTTACAGATGTAAGCACGTTGAATAGCGCCATCAAATGTTCAAAACATATTAATTTTAGCTTTTGTTTTTCTTTTAGATGTGGCCAACAAAAGATCAGTGGAATAGATATTTACTTCCATTAGTTGGTTCCTTATTGACTAGACTCATGGGTGATGAATATCCATTGAATTATTCATCTGATATATTTGTTGTGGATCCATCAGGACCCAGAACACAGCATGAACATCATGAAGGTATTTTTTTATTTCAATTACAAAACTGAATCAATAACATCAGAAATATATATAATTATACTAAAGCAGCAATTAATTGCTTTCAGGGTTAGATTAAATCATAATCATTTTGATGTTTATAGATAATGCATACCAAATTTCAGATACCGGTAAGTGGGCAAATGGTTCTTGAGAACTTGATTTTTAAATACATGTATAACATTTTATATTAAAGTTTTTACGGATTTCAAATGACTAATCAAAACCATATTACTCCGCTATATATCGAAAGATAAATTCTGTACAGCATATATTAGTCAAAGATCTTTTAAAAAAAAATGTTTTCAGTAAATCGAAGATGGCTGTCAAACCATGTGACCAATCAAGTAGATGAGTGATTATAGAGTGGCTTTAGTATCACTTCTACTAAATTTGTTCTGTCTTATTTTATTTATGCAGATAAAAGTCTTTCAAGAGAAAGAGATGAATTTAAGTTTGAGTATGCAGAGAAGGAGTTGTTTTTATGGGCAGTGTTGATGAATAGAAGAGAAATGTCTCGTCTCTTCTGGCAATGGGGTTCAAGTCATATAGGTAAGCAAGAAGTTGTTCATATGGGTAGTATTGATGAATAGGAGAGAAATGTCGCATCTCTTTTCACAGTACTCTTCTAAATGTCTAAGAGCAAACACTGTATGATTCATGTTAATCGACAGTAACCAGTGAATTATTTTCTATCTTTATTGGGACTACAGTATTTGATCTATTACAAGTGCAGCTCTGATAAAAGCATATAAACCAAAAATTCTTGTAGACTGAATTATCAAAATATCTTATTTTTTCAATGATAGAATCACCTCTATAATTTGCATACCAATAAAGCATGTATGGTATATCTAATGGGGTTTGTATTATATTTGTATTGTATGATATAACTGTTCGAGTGTGTGTAATTGAGCTACGTTTTATTTAGCAAATAACTGAAAATGACTAATTTTCACTGGGTTTAAATTTCACTGATTTACCATTTCAGGCATAATCAGTGGGTTTTAAATTCACGGTTTCGTCATTTAGATAATGTGTTCTATGCTAAATTTTACATATTCACTGTGTTTTAATTTAGCGCATTTTTCCAGTCAGCGAAATAAGCTAAATTAAAACCCAGTGAATAATTAATCCTTTTACAGTAACTGAAAATTGTGTTACTTTACCATATTCCTTATTTAATACAATTTTGATTGCCATGGAGATAGTTGCATGACTATTATTATTAAATATGTTAATTGTGAAATGGTGCATGGAATCATTCAGTGATGCAAGTAAACTGAATAATAGACTTAAACTATTACATTCTGCAGGTGGAGCCCTTGTTGCTGGTAAACTATTGAGGGCGCTGTCTAAGATTGCTGCTGCTGAAGAGGAACTTGAACTTTCTCAAGATCTTCGTAATCATTCTATGTAGGTTATTAACATGTTATGTTTTACCATTGATGAAACTTTATATTTTCATGATGAAAAGTTTAAATCAAGTTTTAGAAAATATAATAAAGTGACAGTTATACTGTAAAACGATTAATTATTCACTGGGTTTTAATTTTGCTTATTTCACTGACTGGAAAATGCGCTAAATTAAAACCAAGTGAATATGTAAAATTCAGCATAGGACACATTATCTTAATGATAAAACCATGAATTCAAAACCCACTGAATATGCCTGAAATGATAAATCAGCAAAGCCCAGTGAAAATTAGTCATTTTACAGTATTAGTTAATAGCGTGCTAATCACTGCTGATCTGCTATTTAGAATTCCTTTCACCTTCAAACATATTTAAATTTGTATGACCTTTGTACTGTGAATGATAGCCAATCACAATCCTTAACCAAAGCACATGTTTACAAGACTGAATAAATTAGTTGACTGTAAATATATTCAGATAAAATGAGCTTTGAAGTAAAACCAATCATGCAGTTCACCATTCAAATTCAAACCACTATCTAGCATAATTGTTTACTCTTACAAACACACATGCATAAAAGTGAAACTCAATAAAATGTCCATGTTCTTTTTAAAAATGCATGAATTCCATATAGCAACTCTAGTAACTGTATTGTCATATATTTACTGGAATCCTTGTTAGCTATTTTACATGTGGTGGTCATGCACACATGACAACCTAGGGTAAAAAATAATAGTAGTTCACCTGTCTTGTTTGTAGGGAATATCAACTATTGGGTAGAGATGTATTAACCGAGTGTTACAACAGAGACAAGAAGAAGTCCCAGTTACTTGTTGTACGGGAATTACCTCACTGGGGACATACAACATGCATGTCAATTGCCGACTCAGCGTCTCAAATGGAATTTATGGACCACAGTTTGTCAAAATAAACTAAACCGAATTTGGAAAGGAAATATGCATTTACATACATCATATTGGAGGGTTAGTATCTCCTATATACCGGTATTTTCAAATTCACATTTTGCATGTACAAAGCAAATTTATTGTGGGAGAAAAATTTACTTGTAATATACAAAAGTTAAATGTTATTATAGTATGTGAAACTCACTAAATCTATCTGAAAAATGTTTTGAAAATTTATGCTAAGATCAGTTTAGCACATATAAGACATACTGGTAATAGAAACCAGGTTAAAACAAAATCTTATTGGTACTCATTATGTTGTATATTTCATTTATTATTTTTTGAAAATATGAAGAAACATGTTCATTCAGAATAAATGCATGTTTGTCATCTTTGTCATGAGATCTCTCATGAAAATGAAAAGCTAATACAATTCTGTCTCTACCCTCTGCAGTTGATCCTGGCAGTTATTCCATGCTTCATATTTCTAATCAAATTCTCTACGAAAGAAGAAGACTATGACGATGAGTGGGAGGAGCATGTTGAGTACTATGATGCAGTGGATGGCACGAATACACGCCCACAGTTACAGACACGAATCACTGGCATTAGCTTAACTGAGCAATCTCTAATGCACAGATCCACTTCAAGGAAGATTACTAAACTTGGTTTATCTACTGAGTCAGACAGACTCAGTATCTTTCGGGCTATTTATTATTTCTATACAGCACCAGTTACCAAGTTCATTCTCAATGGTGTACGTATAATATATATCAATCTTGCAAAACAACTTTTCCTTTGGTTTCAATAACCAATTGACTGTGGTATAATTGTTTAACTGAATTTAAAATATTAGCAATGAAATCCTCAGATGGAATTTTGGTTTTCAAGTAATATT